TCATTGGTGCAAATGATACAAATACTGACAATACTGTACCACTCCCATATCCTAACAACCACAGGGAAGAACTGTACATGAGAGACTTGGAGATGTACATGGAGATGGGTGAAATTAATGGGTGCGTTTGGTTGCAGAAGAGCTGCTTCATGAGACAGAGGTGGATTACAGGGTGCAACAGTGCATTCTAGTGGCCAATAGGAACATCACAGGAAGTATTTAAGAAAATGTTCTGCTTAAAATATCTTTGTGAGGCTTTCACTGCCAGTTTGAATAATGGAGCATATTTTATAAGCTGATTTGAAATTCTGAAAATGATCTTAATGTGTAGCAGCACAGTGACCTGAGGCCTTTGCTCTTCTGATGCCACAGGTTTAGATAAAGAATGTTTAAGGGTGCCCATTGTCTTTGTGTTTATATTATCTATCCATCTATATAAAATTAGTATGAATACACAAATTCTGAGGCAGAGGCGCACACATATCTGCACACATTCACTAGAAAACACTAAGTCATTCACAACGCTTTTCACGCTGTTCCATATTATGCACGGGTGCACACACATTCAATTACATGAATTCACATGCACTCATGTAGGAGAGAACACACAAACACCTGACTGTATGCATCCAGGTACTAGACGTTTGTGTGTGTGTTCTTGTACTTGCTACACAGTGAGGACCAAAAATGTATTTCATGCTACAGAGTGATGACATTTTGGCCAGTCCTCACTTTCTGAATCACCTTTTAGAGGGTTAAGACTTGGTTTTATGGTCCAGATTAGAATTATGTTAGGGCTGGTTTGGGGAATTTAGTTCTGGTGGTGAAGGTTAGGGTAAGGGGCTAGGGAATGCATTATGTCAATGAATGTCCTCACGAAAATAGAACTACAAGTGTGTGTGTGTGTGTGTGTGTGTGTGTGTGTGTGCATACACATCTGAGAGCTCAGTTCCTGAAATTGCATTTGCCTTATGTCACTTATGGTCAGTGTCCAGTGGTGATTGTGAGTAGAGGGGCTTCATATATTTTGTGTCATTTTTATCTACAGTGAACTTGAGCAGGATGACTTGAGAAGATGGAGAAAATGAGCCAGATGTGGCATGTTGTTTCTCATTAGTGGCATGCAGCCTGCTCTTTTTTTTCTCCTGTTAAAACAAATAATCTGCCCTGCCACTGTGTGTGACAGCTGGAGATGAGTACTCACTTAAGTGGAAGAAAATAAATCAAAGTTCTTGCCATCTTTGTGTGATGATTTGTCTAATTCTTGTCTGGTATGTCCATGGGGGAAGGGGAGGAGAAGAGATGAGGAGGGAGCAAGGGAATGAGGAGATTGTATTTTTGTGTATTGTGTGTGTGTGAGAGAGAGAGCGCGAGAGAGAGCGCGAGAGAGAGGTTGAAAAGGAAGGGACAGAGCAAGTCTGAGGGAAA